CCTCAGTGTTTGTATGAATGTACCATTTAATAAATATTAACTTTATTCCTAACTATGCAACAATTAAAAACTGATAAGAATATTTGTACATAGGTTATTGGAATATCCTTAATTGTTTCCTTATGATACAATTCTAAAAGTAAAATTACTACATCAAGGGTTATGGATATTTTCATGCTAGGTAAAGTGCACACATCCGTTCTCACCCTTCAAAATTCTGTCTAATTTGCAAATTACAACTCACTTTGTTTCAATATAAATTTATACATTAGATTTAAATAAGTTTTCCTTATATGTACTGTACATTGCCTTTGTTAGCTATCTGCTTATTTTTTACATTTTTCAGTTACTGTGATATATGATTTTAACTGATTTATAAGAGCTCTTTATTCATTAAGGCTTTAACTTTTATCATAGAAATGTGAAGTTTTTCCTGTTTGCACTTGTCTTTTAAATTTTGTTAATATTTTCAGACATGCAGATGTATAAAACCTGTATTTAGTTTTATATTTAAACTTTAACTTTATAACTTCAGCTTTTCAGATTTAAATAGCTTTTCTCATATAAATATTAATATTCTTGAACTATGTCCAGTTTCATTTCTACCTTTAATTTTAATAAATGTGCAATTTATTTGGCATACTATGAGATGATACAAATTAATTTAAAAAATGACTACCCCATTTGATGGCACCATTGCCAAATGATATTTCCTTTTCCATTTGAGTAGAAAAGTTATATTTATCATATACGAAGTGCTCATGCAAATTTCAGTCTATTTATAGACTGTGTCTGCCATATGTCTATTCTTGTGCTAGTACCACATTACTTACGTTATTTCCTGTATTAATTCTTTTCCCTGATAACAAATTTTTAGAGGGAAACTAATATATCTATTTATAAGTTCACCTAACTACTGACTTATTAAACTAAAAGTTAAATAGTTAACATTAAGCTTCTTCAGCTTGTGTGTCAAGTTATCAATAAAAGTTTCTTGTCTCTGTTTAGCAGGTCTGTTAGTGAAACACATGTTAAGGCTATCATCAATACTCAGTGTTTTAAAAGTTTGTTTAGCTTACTCATTTACTCTATGAAGTATTTACTGTATTTGCTTCCAAGTGCCGTGCTATGCGTGAGGGACTAGCCCCTTGAGGTGTTCTGAGAAACAACTGAACAAATAAATTGTGTAAGTGCAAGAAGGGAAAGGAAGAGGGTGGTATCATCAAGGACAGGATGGTCACGGGGAGTAAGTTAGCTATAGCAGTCAAGGCAGGCCTCTGGGAGGAGGTCACACCACTGTCAGGCAGACATCTAAAGGATGAGTATGCACCAGTTAGGCAAGAAACAAGAGAGATGAAAAACCAGGAACAAAACACAAAGATCATGAGGCAGGAAGGTGCTTGGCCTGCCACAAGGCAGTCTGGGAGTGTACAGTGAGCAAATGGAACAGTATCACGCGGTGACGCTGGAAAGGTAGTCAGCACGCAGGTCATCCAGGGCCTGCACGACATTTCACTCTAAATACAACTGCAAAATTTCAATCAACAAGGGACATCACCTCATTTAAATTTTGTTAAAAATTGCAATGAAACTGTCAAAAGAATAGTAGAATGAAAAAATGTAATAAAGTAAAGAGAATAAAAAGTAGAATAGAGTAACAGGAGGGGTAAGGAAACCAGTCTGGAGGCACCTGTGCTGACCCAGGTAGGTGGGAACTGCGGTGGCCACAGTGGACCAAACGCTGTGGATCACGGCGTTTTAATGTTGTCCCAAAACTTACAGGAAACCTTTAGAAAGTCTTAGAAAGAAAAATTACTTTATTACATATTATAAAATACTTCTATGTGAATGCTTCATGTTAAATACAAATTGTACCTCATTACATTATTATAGATCAGCATATTTTCGCAACTGCCATCAGTAATAGACTGACGAGAGAAAGCAGCCCAGTGGAGGAACTATGGCTATACCCCAAGAAGGGATGAGACTTTGAACTGGGGGACAAAGGTTAAAGGGAAAAGAGAAGCCAGGCAGCTAGTTCAGGGATTTTCCAAAAGGCTCAAAATGGGCTGAAAGAAGGGAATGAAATGTTGCAGGAGTTGAAAACTAAGTAGCCCAGATCATAGCTTTTGAAGCTATCTGTGAAGATTTATTTATTTATTTTTTTAAGGGCATTATTGAATGATAACATTTTGAAAATGAATTAGAATTATTGAAAAAAAACAAAAAGATTTAGAAGTACACAAAATAAAAGCACAAATGGTTTTATGATTTGACTCCATAGACATAAAATTAAATTTCAACACATGTAGTCAGAACAAAGTAACCCTGGGAAAAAGAAAATAATTCTAAAAACTGTCCATGTTGTTCGCTGAAAGTACGTGTATAACATAATCAGTGCAGACAAATGTTACTATATTTGTAGTTTTTTTTCATTATACATCAAAATTAAACAAAGATTCATACAGGGAGGGATTCACCAAAAGAAATGCCTATGTAAACATCTTAAACAAATACTGGGAATATAAATATTTGAAGTTTATAATGTGGCAATGAGCTTTTTGCTGGTTAACTGATCTAATCCAAGCTGAACTGGCAATAAACCACTCACAGGAATAGCACATAGCTCACCTGGTTTCAGTTTTACTTTAATAACACGCAGAGCAAAGAAGACAGTGTCACAGAGGCACACTGGGGGAATGAAGACTCAAGAGAGCTCAGAGTATTTACTTTAAAGTCTTAACCGAAATGAAACTAGAAATGATGTATCTTTAAAATGCACCCTCAGTGTTCATCTATAACTACTTCTAGTAATTTATCCTGTATAGATATAAGCTAAGAAAAAGTATATTTCACTGAATGAAATGGAATCCCGTTCCATGAATTTCTTACGTATGAATCTTCTGCTAATGGAAGATAAAACATAAAACATTCTACCAAAAACATAAAATGGCACGAGATAACTTTTCAAGTGTGAACAAAGTCAAGATCATTCTTACAGATCAAGATACTACGTTGAGAATTATTATCAAATTCATTGAAAAATATGAAAAATGAAACTCTGTGCTTCCAAGATTCTTTCATTTGTCACAAGACAAAGAAGCTAGTCCTATTAGTTCATTGAAGAGTGGGTCGAACTAGTTTCTTATCCTGTAAAATCACTTGGAGTTGACTTTGCAGTTCCAACATCATCAACAGAACGTTTGGCCTCAGTAACCAGCACAGCACAGCAGGCGGAAACTGTTACTGATGACCAGCTTCTGTGTTATCACAAAACAGAGAGAATAATTGCAAATTTACCATATCAGCCTTAAAGTAGGTCAAATTTATTACATCACTAAGGCCAGTGTGCAGTTCAGCTGAAAGTGTTTTCATAAGAAATCTTTCTTGCTAAAGAAAGCAGTGCACTGGTATTTTGATGCAGGCGCCATAGGGTGCTAATACTCCAGAGCCTTTTCCATTCACTACAACTAAGCCTTTGGAACACGCTTCTACACAGAACCATCTCCAGAGGACATCTATTCTAACTGAGCTTACTTTATCCAATCTAATCTAATCCTTTTCAGTTTATACAGTTCAGAGCTGGATGTGTTTGTAAAGAATAGAGTTGAGAAGAATTTCTCCTCCATTTCATTATGATTTTCAAAATCTGCACATTTATAAAAGATATCTGTGCTTTCATTAAGTCCTAACAAGAAATACTTCACTGCTTTGTCCTATAAATTGGTCTTCTATTTAACTAGCCAGTCTATGGAATACACTGAACTCTGGTATCATCCGTAGCTCAGGGTCCTCTCCAAACTCCCTCCAGTTATCTGTAAAATTCAGTTCCCTCTTACTGTAGGCGAGAGTCCCCCACCTTCACACCGACTGCTCACCAGGTAGTGCTCTCAGGTCTTCGTCCCACGGTCACTTCCATCACAGCAAAGAACTTCCTTAATATCAAATCCCTCTCACACTTTAAGTGTCTCTGACTTCCGGTTCACCACCAGCCAGAGAAAACTCTCTGCTTTAACAGGGCTCATGTGATTAAGTCAGGGCTGCCTGGATCATCACCCTTCCTTAAGTGCAGCTGTGCTATATAACATCGCCTAGTTACAGGTGCAAAATCCTTCATGCTCACTGCCTCAGGAATCGGGCAGGGTGTGCATGTGGGAAAAGGGGGGGGCTGCGGGTGGGGGGCTGTTGGGGGAGTTTGGCCTGGTACAATCCCTCGTTTGGCAGAGACTAACCTTATGGAAATCATACTCAGGGACATCACTTCAGCTATTTTATTTTTCATCTCTAAAACTTTCAACTGGTTCTTTTAAAAAATGTTTTCATTTTTCTCCTTATTATGTTCACTTTTTCTTTTAGATGGAAAAACATCTTGAATATATTTATGTAGCTGTGTGAATGTCTTTATCTGATATTCCATCATCTCCGTTCTTTCTGAATCAATTTCTTTTGACTGATTTTTTTCTCCTGTTTATGCATCAATTTTGCTATTTCTTTGCATATTTAATTATTTTTTTCATTGGATGCTTAACATTTAATTTTATGTTGTTTTGTGGAGAAATGTTTTGTATTCCTTTTTAAAGAGAGTCAGAACTTTGGACAGAAAGTTAAGTAACTTATAGATCAATTTGATACTTTAAAGGCTTGTTCTTAAGTTTTTATGAAAGTCTAAAGTAACTTTCATTTTAGGGCTATTTTAGTCATACTACTAAGGTCTGACTCTTCGAATGCTACCATTGTGCATATTATTTTTATACATATAATTACAGTTTAATTGTTATACATATACTTAATTTGCAGATGGTACTTAAAGAAACATAACACAATGCAAATATAAAAGCTGTATTTTGCTCTCAGTAGCCAGGTATAAATACAACATGTTATATCTCCAAGAAACATGAGAGGTATGCTTGTTTATAAACAATTACATTATGGATATTTACTATACAACAACTGATGAAATAAGAATACCCAAATGGGTCAGGAGATAAGGTCAATATTACCTTTGTAAAATGAGTGGGCAAAGCTCTGCTCAGGAATTAACTTGGCAAGGAATCCATGGTTCAAACTTGGATGAGGGATAGATGGTATGACCACAACTGTGGAGAAAATCACGGAATCAAATTTGAGCCAGCATGTAACGACTTGCAATATGGTCCACTGAGGATCCATGACAACTCTGTATTACTGCAACATGCAAACAGTACCAGCAATAAAGACTCAATTTCTGGGAGAAAGAAAGAAGTTATATTTTAAGAGAAAGGGAATAACAAACATCATCAATAATTTTAGCAACATACACAGAGACATACAAACACACAAGAAAATCAGAACTGGAAGGTTCAACTAAAATACTGCTCATTTTATACACATATGACTGATATGAAAGCATTGAAAATAAAAAAAATAGTTGATTAACACAATAGTATCTTAGTGTTTTACATGGTCAAAAGACAAACTGAAATGGTAGGATAATGTTTAATTTGAAGAATAAAGTTAAGAGTATGCTATGATGAAATCATGTAATGGTTACATGTTCAAAGTAAATACAGCATGCAACAGCTAAAGCATAACCCACATTTCCATAAAAGCAATAAAAGGCAAATGAGATGTGATATGTGTATGGAAAAAACGCAGAGATTTGACCACTAATTTCTACTCACTTTTTAAAATATCCCTTTTATTTATATAACAAATGTATTTATTTAGAAGAGACAATTTCAACTATAAATTAATAGAGTGGTACATGAAATAACCACTGGGTCAACAAGATACACTGCAAATACCAGAGAAACAACCTTGATAGAAGTACCTGGCAGGAAAAGCAACTGATAGATGGCACCCCATGAAATTAAAATATTAGTTGCCAGAAAATGCATTTATCATTTTCAAGCAGAAAAGCTGCTAATTCAAGAACTCCTACACATGAGCAGCTGCTTCTGCTGATGATAAAGACAACAGGCCCCAAGACGGTTCACGGCTGTCTAAAGTCTGATTTTAGTTGAAGCAATTTTGGTATCAAGTTTAGAATGCATGTTTGCTTCTTATAAATCTCTGATAGAATGTCTAGATACTGAAATAACTGTACACAGCAAAAGAAAGGAAAGGAAAGGAAAATAAAAGAAAGGAAAGAAGGAAGGAAGGAAAAGGGGGAAGGAAGGAGAATGCTGTCTGGGAACCAGGCTATGAAGATTTAAATCGTGGCTTATTCCTGGTCTTCACAAGGACCTCCTACTTTCATGTTTATAAAGGCTAAAAAGTACTAACACATTTAAAATATGAGTCATCTGCATATTAAATAGGAGCATAAATGATTTGTATTAATAAATGGAAAGCATTAAAACCAAAACTGCATTGTTAAAACGAGAATACAGCAAATACTACGGAAACATCATTCATAACATTTTTGTGGAACTAGAGAATACTAAAGTGACATTTATATACCACCTACTTATAAATATTTGAGGTGATTATGAATGGGATCAGTTTAAGTCTGGATGTAAAACTGAAATAAAAAGGAGATAAATGATGAAAACTCAAATCATTTAACTAAGTACCTGTACTTGTGGGTGAATTTATCTCCTGCCTGATGTTTCGGCCCGGCTGGCTCCCAGTCCGCGCGGTCTCCCGCTGGGGCTCCAGGATGTCCCGGTACTTGGACACCATCAGAACCGAAATGAAGTATACGACAGCCAGAGCTAAGAACTGCGCCTGCTTGCTGTCGTCCTGCGGCAACGAAGAAGTTTTGACACAAAATTTGGAAAGCATAAGTTCTTAAAGGACAAGAAACTACTCCTATTTCATTTCCTTGATTAAATCTCATTAAAACATATTTCTTAATATTTGCTAAAAATATGTTGTTATTTAATAACTATCATTTAAAAACACATACAAAACTCTGGAAATCTTATCATTTGAGTTATATGTTGAAATGTAATTTCAACAAACTAATGTTAAAATTCTGCTGAATATGCCACAAATTTTATTCTTGGTCTTCATTACTGTTATTATTCATTACTTCATAATAACAATGTCTATTTATAAATGTGCAGATCGCACAAGGTTGAAAAGAATTATTTCAAATTAAAATATCAAGAGTTTCCAATGTTATGGCTGAAAAAAACTAATAGAATAAAATTACAACTGGAATACATATACAATTCTTACGTATTACTACCTGAGCAGGAGACTCTATGAGCACAAAACAGGAGAGGCATAAAAAATGGGGGATCATAAAACATGAATTTTACACAAGCTCATTATGAGTCAGAAGTGAGTATGGCAGCTTAAGAGAAAGCACATGCAATCTTTGATATTAAGATATGCAATCTTGAACATAAAAATAAGTAACACCGCCACTATCCTGCACTTGAAAAATGACCTCTAGAATACTGCCAGTATCAGAGGCTCTTAATTTTAAAAGCTCAGTGACAAAATGATGTTTTTCCAGAGGACAAAAGCAAAATGCACAAGGTCTGAAAAATATTGACCAAGCTGGTATAAAGAAGTAATAGTTTTAGAAAAGTAGACTGGAATATAGTAGATAGCTTTATAATAAGCATGCTTTGCAAAAATATAAACAGTTGTATAGCACCGTGATAGCTCTATCCAAAAAGCTTATATAACCATCTTATAGGGAAAGACTGTTAAGAAGGCAAGTTTATATGACCTGTAATAACACTTCCAAATTAGTCTATATCTAAGGAATCAAATGTAAATGGTTTATAAAGCCTTTTTTCTAAGGTAGGTAAAAGTGATACCACAAACCAAAACTGCAAGTAATTACTGTGACCCATAGATAACAGGTAACAAATAGTATGATTGAAATAAGGGAAACAAACATACATTAGCATCTAGCGACTCCATTTATAGGCACTTTATATGTATTAGTTCATTTAAGCACAGTGTAAACAAGATTCAGAATTTATGGTTGTAAGAAAAGAAAGCAAACAAAAAGTATTTACTGATGATTTAATACCACTGAAATAGAATTAGCACAGCTAATGGAGGAAATGACCAAAACAGATTAAATTTGTTCTGAAATATCATGAATTTCATATTGTGTACTCTGTGGGTGGAAGCTTTCCTAGAAATACAGGTTCTTCTGAAGTATCTGAAATGCACACACCTTGCACACAATGTGGATAGAATAAATACATCAAGGATAAAATCAAGTACTTAAAGCAGTGAGTTATAAAGGAAATTGAAGTGCAATCAGACCAACAAAAGACACTGCCCAGGAATGAATTCAGCCAGCTCGGGCAGTGACAGACCATAGTACCCCACAGCACTTTAATTTCCACTGCTAGGAACTCAGTACCAGCCAATTAGAAAACATTCAACCAATGTGTGTTGAATGAATGAATGCCAACTACAAAGTTGCAGAGATGCAAATAAAAGACAAAAGACATTGTGAACTATTTGTCCTAGCTAAGCTAAAATTTCCCTGATGTATGGCATGAAAGGATTTGCTGTTTCTTTTCAAATCCCAGTCTGTAAACCAATTGTGTTGCTTATTCCCAGATGTCCTTGAAAATGAAGCACAATATACAACATAAGAGGCTAAACATCTGGAGAACTAAATTTTTATTCACATTAATTGACTTGCCTAGGTACTTTATAATTATGAAGACTTGAGCTCTATTATGTTTCTCCCATCTGCTTAAGAAATGCTATTCAATCTTGGATCGGTAATATAATTAATTAACTGTGAAATCCTTTAAAGAATTTAAACCAGGATGTTGGAAAACTTTCCAATTCAATTTTTAAGGATTAAAATTACTTTAGTTTATATAATTTTGAATACAGGTGACCTGGTATAATCTAGGCTCTAGGAAAAAAGAGAAGCATAATGAATTTCCTTTCAAATTTTGGTTTACTGGGGAACACAGAACAAATTTTTTTTTAAAAGGCTGTATGTTTTATACCACATAGCAAATTTTTTCACACAAATCTTTTTTACTTGGATTTAAACAGTTTATGTCCCAGGTGTTCATCACAGAAAACAAATGAGACAGGAGGAGGAATTCATTACTTGATATTTTATCAAATTTTCTTCCTGCCACTACAACTAGTATGCACTTGCTCCCAGTACCAACAGAACTCAGAAGTCCTTGAAAACCATAAAAATCCTTAATCTGTAAATATAAGATAAAGGAGAGGAAGAGAAGAGACTGTGTGTGTGTGTGTGTGTGTGTATGGTCTAAGAAAATTATTTACTTAAAAAGTAAGACAGCTAAGACCATGAAAAAAACATAAACAGCTTTTACCCACAGGTTATATTTATCACTTAGTTGTTTGATCAGTGTATAATATATATATATTACATATGTAATGTACAAATACTTTTCTTTAAAAACCTATTTTTTCTCTCATTTGTTTTTGAAATTAAAGCAGCTAAAAATGACTTGATTCAAAAAAATTTCAAAAGTCAAGTAGAATTCTTACATAATCTGTACAATTGACTCCAAAGTATATCAATTGTAAAACATTTCTAAGTTTCATAGATTATTTCAAAATGGAAAAAAAAAGTATGGCACAGAATCTCTGAAATACAAGAATGAAAAAATCGAGTGCTTTGGAAAGACCTAGTCTGGGATTCTGACTCTACCTTATAGTATCTCTGCGAACTTCACGCTTCTGAGTCTTAACTTTCCCTTAATAACTTAACTGGAAGCTTAAGATAATATGTATTAAATGTCTTAAACACAGTATAAACTCAATGAACGCAAGTTATGTTACCTTGATGGTGTTTGGGAGACGTACCCAGGAACCCCTAATCCCCTTCCTGGAGGGAGAAAGCCAAGCACCACTTCTGGGTTACCCACCATAGGACACACTTGTGAGTCTTTGAAAGAGAATCATAACCTACAGCAACCACCTACTGCACACTTACTAACAATTCAGACATAATGTCAGGCCTGCGTGAACTCCTCCTGTATTAGGTCTGAGTGTGCTTCTTGGAGATGAAGATATGCTCCATGTTTTTTTAAATCATTCGTTATTTAAAAAAACATTCTTTCCATTAACACATTTTCTCAGGATGAGTAATTCCCAATTCTAAATGGTTAAACTATTAGCAATCGTTTTCTAAGTTTATATTAGGGCCCAGATTTTGGTGAGGTTCTTATATCATGGTTTTTATATATTATCATGCATTTTATCTCCTAGTTTTTGAAAATTCTTTTACATGTATTAATTATCAAAGGAATATGGGTCTATTATAGAAAATTTGAAAATGCAAAGAAGTATAAAAGGATAAAGTACAAAATAAAAACTATAGATAACCATTGGTGATATTCTGGTATATTTTGTCTAGTCCTTTTTTTATGTGCATATACATACACTAAGCACAAAAATTTAGTATTTGTGTAATACAAGCACATTTATATATTGCTGCTTCCCCTTAAAATATATCATGAGAATTTCCTCCTGTCACTAAATTTCCCTCAAAAATATCCTTTTAATAGCTGTGCAGTTTCCCTTTGAATGAATATACTATGATTTATTAAGCTGACTCTTATTGTTGAGTATTTTATGTTGCCAATACTCCTGCGGGCATCTCTGATGAGCACATAGGTTAAGTAACTTCTGAGTAGAACTTGGTCACAGGGCCTCGATATTTTAAAGAGTTTTAACACACATTGGTAAGAGCAATTAAAAAAACTTATCCGATTTATATGCCTACAATGATACATGACAGAGGACAGAGCATGCTTCCATGCCTTACAATGGCAGGTTATTACTATTTTGAAATGTTTATCTAACAGTAAAATTCTTTACTGTTGTTTTAATTTTCATTTCTTTAACTACTAGTAAAACTGATTTTTAGTCATGTTTGTTACCTTATCTTTCATATTTTATGCCCACTGCCCAGTTTTTCTATTGATACATGTGCAATTTTCCTTGTGATTTATAAAAACTGATATATACTAAAGGGTTGATATATATAAAGACAACTTTTCTGTCATATATTTCTACCATGCAGTATTATGCTGTATTACTGAAATGTATTTTAACCACTTTCTAAAGTACAGAAGTACTCCATCCAATTGATTATAAAATGTGGATTTAAAGCATAAATTTTCTTCTATGTTTCATAAATCATCAACTAAAATAAAAATAGAATCCAAATGGCTAGTAAATAATAACTATGTTAAGAAGTACTATGAATACTGTGAAATGCTATATATGTTTCTATGCAATCTGTAGAAATGTAGTTTATTTCTATTTATGTTGAATAAGTGATCACATGCTTGGAGTACTCCATGAAACCATCTCCTTAAGCAAGCAATCTTTTCCTTAAGTTTAATTAAGCTACCTTTCTAACTCAAATTCCCAGAGATACCTATATTTTTAAATGCAAATTTCTTTCAAAAGTAATTGCCCTGCCAAAAAGTTATTGCCAGTAACACCTTGATGAATTAATTCCTTTTATCTGCAATACAAGGAACATCGGTAATAATAAAATACTCGACCTAAAGATGGAACAAGGGATACTGAGAAGGATTAAATGATTCAAAACAAAATGAATTATAGTATTTCAAAGTTATCCTTAGTCTTACTATACATATAAATTAAATTAAAATTTCTCAAACTGTTAAAAAATAATGTATCAATAAGCTTTCTGAGAAAGCTAAGTCTCAACCATTTCATAATCAAAAGTGTATTATAAACTTCCAATTCCTGACATTAGCATATTTAGTTTTAATATGCGGCTTCCTTATAAAACATAAATTCTTTCACACCAATTACAGTGGAAGGCTTTCTTCCTGAGAAATCAAGCAGGCATAACTTACCACATCCCGAAAGACCACAGCACGAAGGCGGTTAATATCGACATCCTGAAGAAGTCTATCAGGATCCTTAATAGGTGAGAGGTTACCTGGAACATTTTCTAATGGAGTCTTAAAAAAGAAAGAGAGTTGTGAAAAACTGCATAATACAGAAACATACATAGTAGTATAATTTCTGGTATCTTTAATTTAGGCATTAAACTGGCCACATCCTTTACTTCGTCATCATTAAATACGATTTAGTGACAACAGTGCTGTCACAGCACTCCCCTGAGCCTCTACTCTTGTCACAGTTGCACTTACTAGTGGTGTTCTTGGTCTTTACTGGCACAGCTACCACTGTAGCCTCAAAAAAGTAACACTGTAGCAGAATGAAGACTTCTCTTGGACTTCAGAAGATCGGAGTACGACTCAGCTGTGATGCCGGGCTTCTTACTAAAACATTCTGAGCTTCCCTTTCCCTTTCCTCAGTTAATAAATCTCTCTGAGTCAGTGGTTCCACTTATCCACCATGCTTTTATAATATATAAGGTTATTATAATACATAATTATATGGGATTTTATATGTATAAGCATTTCATGATCTACAAAGAGTTAGAAAAGGTAAACTTAAAAAATATTGTAATAGCCTTAATATTAAAGCTTAAAGACATTAAACAGATGATTACCACCAAAATCCTTTTTACAGCTGAAGATAGAAAAATCCACAATTTTATGCAAACTAGTGAGAGCGCCAGGGTTCCTGCAACTCAGTCTAGTACGTCTTCACTTACACAATGTACTAAGAATTAGGTGGATTATTGGATTATATATGTAAAGTACCAAATATAATGCCTGCAAAGAGAATAACCTGCTGTTACTTCCACTAATAAAAATAAATAGGCCTCCTTCCAATTCCCCATAGACCTCAACTATGATATTTCACACCTAAATTAAGATGTTTGATTCCTTTGTAGCACAGCATAGTAAAAATAGCATGGCATTTGAAGGTTGATACTAATTTGGTTTCCATTACAATTCAAAAATTTACCAGCCCTCTGTCCTTAGGTGAGATAGTAACCTCTTTGAACCTCAACTGTATTATCTAAATAATAGGTTAATAATACTTATCACAGTACTATTAATGAAAATAAAATGACATTTATAACATAGATAAAAAGTATCTAATTTACAGCATAGATGAAAATATTTGTTTCAATTTATATACCATTTATATTTTACAGAGTGTTTTTATATTCATGTAGTTCAGTCCTTATAAAAAGCCTCCTTTTTAAAGGATTAGCTTGTATTATTGCTTTCTACAAAGTATAAAAAGCAAGGCCCAATGAAGATGTGTGACTCACGCAAGGCCAACCAGGTTAGTACCACACCAAAATTAACTATGGTTTGTTTACTAAAGTGCCACGTAAAAAAATGCATAAACACAAGAAGGGAAAAAAAAAAACAGACCTCACCAACCAACTATGTCCATTGATTTCTGTACTGAAATGTTTTCTTACCATGCCTTTTCCACTAATATTTGTATACCCATCATTTATACATTTTTCATTGCCATGGTTCTTAGTAAAGAGACACTGACTAACTCAACTAAATTACTACAAACTTCCTTCTCACTGAGCTTGACAGTTTTGAAAAGCTTTCTATGATCTACTAAATGAAGTACAGACACCTTTAAGATCAAAGCTCTCAAAAATACTAATTCATTTATTCATTTCATGAGTATATATACTGAGTAGCTAACTGCTAGAGAAAAATTCAGATTAATAAATGTTCACTACTTCATATCAGGAAAGTACTTTAATTCATTACTGTTTTTTATTTAATTCATACAAACATCTTATTAGTTAAGATTTTTATCCATTTTAAAGACTGGAAAACTGAGGCAGGGACTAATGCACTTGGCTTAGGCCACAAAACCAGCAAGTGGTACGGCCAGGATACACACTCAGAACTGTGTGGTTCCCGAGTCAGTGCATTTTTGACAAAGTATTCTCCGTGTGAGCCGTGCTCTGGAATTGCAAAGATGTGTAACATACAGGCATGCCCTCGAGGCCCTTACAGTCTATTATACCTACACAAATAACATGAGGCACTATTGCTGATGTGTTTATATTTAATTTTCTAAGCAAGGAGGGCCCTGTGGAGATAGATGTGTGCACAGTAAAATAATACATGGCCTGATTATTTTGGGAAAAGGAAGATGGTGCAATACAGATACACTACATATGTGGTTGTTCTTCGTGAAAATTGTGGAAGTTTGAAGCCACACAGAACTTCTTATATGAATTCAGTATCTACTTCGTGCCTTCTCTTGAGGAAAAAAATCACTGTTGATCAAACATCTAATTACATGTGTGGTGAGTGGAAAGAGGCATGCAAGGTTTTACGAAGATATCAAACAGCCAGCTACCCTGGACGAGGTGGCCGTGGGAGTATCTGAAAACATTTTTATCCAAGAGTAGCCCTACAGCTAAAGCCCAAAGTTGGATGGACGTGAGCTGGGTGGAAAATAAGCACAAATACGTCAAGGGAAGGGACCCTACGTAAAAGCATAAAGGTTGAAAAAAAAAAAAGACTCTTCTGATGAACTGAATGGGGTCCACAGTGTGAGTAAAATGGTCAAGGCGAGGGTGGGGACACACGCTGCAGCTGGTGGAGTGAGCAAGGGGCAGTCACGCAGGACCGCAGAGGGCACGCTTAGATCTGAACGCGACGCCAAGCGTCAGTCAAACATATGATCAGGAGAGCTAATTTGGAATGAGAATTACTGGTATATGTGCCCAAATACTCTACATTATTCATTCATTCCTGGGCATACCATGTAGTTTTATTGAATATTATGAGGATATCTATCACCAAAAACATATACATTTAGAAAATGCAGTTTCATATATTGAACTCTGTGAAACTAATAAAACTCTTAAAAATAGTAGTAACTAAGAACTTTTCAGAGATACGTGTGTTTATATAGTCCTTAAAAGAACCCTGTGCTGTAGAAATTATTAGTATCTTCATTTAATAATCAAAGAACTTTTCAGAGAGGTCAAGTAATCTTGGTAACACAACTAGGTGTGATGACCAAACCTCTGCTCTTTGTTTAAGCAGTACCATGTCGCTTTGTTCTCATGAACACAAGGAGCTTTCTAAGGTAAACTATGCTTAAGAGACCAGTTGGCTACCTTGGAAGCGGCGGGGGCCGCCACACCCTGCGGGGCTTCCGGGGGTCTGCCGCCTCCATGTGCAGGCTTGCTCCCCCGGTCTCTCTGCCTCTGCCGACATTCTAGACAGTTTCTCACAGCAACGCAGCAAACTATTTAAGAAAACCAAAAAGCACAGTATTCATATGAATTCTTGGCTAGGACATGTGGAAAAGAGTTGCTAGGTCCTTTTTTTCTTTCTTTCCCCTTTCTCCATCCCAGCATTATTGTTAAAATATACTACCTCAATAAATAATTTTAAAAATTATGAAATACAGCAAGGAAAAGTACATATAAACCATACATGCTGTTAAAAAATAAAAATATCCATGTACTACCAACCAGTAGAAGAAACAGACTATTATAAGGCCACTGAAGCTCCCAGTATATCCTTCCTTATTCTATTCACTTCCATCTTTCAAAATTCTAAATTTTATGGGTTAAAAAAAATTTTTTTTTTACTTACTCTTCATATTTGGTAAATTGTTTTTAATAGTAGGATTTCCTCCTGTAATTTGATTATCATGGTAGCTGTACTGATTAAAACCCCCCAGCTCACACAACCACAGAGCACACCAGCACAGAGTAGTCTCACAAGTCCCCATCCCACCTTCACTTACGGTGGGAAGTCAGCGGCCTTTGGCAGTAAGGATTCAACAAGTACAAGCTTTTTGTTTATCTATTTTAAGAAGAAGTATAGTAATAAACAGCATGATTCTCAAATCACACCATCCGTGTGGGTGTCCTGGCTCTGCCCCTGAGGAGCTGTGTGACCCTGGGCCTACTGCTGAAGTTGTCTGTGCCTCACGTTTTCTTACATGTAAAATGTATATAAACACATAAATTTCTTAGAGAAATGTAGTGAGGATCAACTGAATTGACATATATAAAGGGCTTCAAACAGTAAACAGCACATATTGATATATAACTGATTCATTATTAGTTATAAACCTGTCCTATGGATGATAAAAAACAAATCTGCTAGGAATTCTTAGGACAAAAATGAAATCAGAAAGCTTAGAATAGCCAACCAGATGCTGGTTTCAAGACATTGAGACATTCAAAAAAATATTTCTCCTCCTCACCAAGCTCACTCTGACCTCTATGGTGAAGTATCGATGAATAATATGTCCATGATGGCCCACAGGACATCACCCCACACCTCTTGTGTCAGGGAGATCTCTGTGTGGTCCATCTTTCCCCCGTAAGGGATATTATACGATTCTTCTCAGCCGGCCTGTCTTTAAAAAGTACTGAACAAAAAAAGAGTAGTTTTTATTACATCCTTAAAGGAAGTTCTTATGCCTACCCTGGGTCAGAAATAACTGCCCTTCTGAAACTATGCTTGTGTAGATTTTGATGTAATCTTTTAAATTATGAGTACAAAGACTATGATATCAGGAATCTCCTCCCTAAGTGCCTTATTCCCTTATTGCCTGCTCAGCCTCTAAGGCAGGTACGAAAATTACAGCTTGCTGGTCCCCTGAGAAGTCTAAGTAGTGTAAATAAATTTCTCCACCAACAAAGGCAAGAGATGTAAGAATGGTTCCTACCTAAAGAGCTGGTCTAAATTTACGAGTTGTTTTCAGTGCTAACTTTTCTTTGCCACACAACATAGTAGGTGAACAGTATAGGTACAGTAATATTTACTGGTGTGAACTGTTCAACCTGAGAAACAGTGAGATTGGTATTGTCAAATCTTACCTTTCAGCATTCTGTGCATTAAACTGTGTCACTGGGCTTCTGACATGTTTGTGGGCCCAGGACAATGACCCTCTACCCAGTTTACCAAAAAAGGATTCATAGATGTTTTCACATTAAAATCACTTACATGAAATAATGGCATCGTCCTACTGATTTTGAAACAATTCAAAATATATTTGACCTTATTTTAAATTGTGATCCATTAAGGATGATCAATTCCATGAAATATCCAATTTGAGGTACTGTAACTGTTTAATTTCACAATTCTGAATTAGAAAGCAATCTATAATCATTACCTTGCATCATATCAAGACTTCACCTACCACAGGGCACCAAACAACTAACCTGCGGGTGACTATTCAACGGGCATGGTAGCAACAGACTCACCCAGCCGTAGGCACTGCCGCATTAGACCGCCAGAAGACATGTTTTTTTCAGCTTCAATCTCACTGAAATTCAGAGAGCTGGCGAATACAAGCACGTCAACCATGGCCATCAATCTGCTGAGGAAAGTCACTGCTGTCTCAGCGGACATGCCTTGTGTCACTTCAATATTCTCCAATTCCGTCTTTAAAAAAGTACAAGATTTAATTGTCTCATTTAAAAACTGGAAATACAGTACTTGCATACATATATACTACAGGCAATTAATACTTCAGTAATATTTAGTGTATTTTGTAAGCAAAGTAAGTTATAAATTATACATTTATTCCATATATCACGAGATAATTAAACGTAATTATTTTACCTATGAATTATACTCAAATATAGAAGTCTGTTCTTTAACCCAATGTTAAATTTAGATGTCAACTTGAAAAAACTATATTCCAAATTTAAAATCATTTCACAAAGATATTTAGAAATAATCACACATATGTATGTACACTAGTTTTCTTTTATTAGTTAACAGATATAAAATTGAGATTTCTTTCCTAAAATCCTCACTCTAATTTATAAAAAGACTTGCATTATTCTTTTATCCTGTAAATGTATGATTAGTGATGGAAGAGATACGTAGCACTCTCCTTTGGAATCCCAGTAAGTTGAGTGTCAACTCAGAATGTATGACAATTTAAATTTATCATCCACTACAGAACAAGCTGAAACTACTAGACATCTCATACGTACAATAAAAATCTGGGGTAAAAATAATCATGAAAATCTTTAATTCTTCCACAGAGATTAAAGTGACTTACAGAACATTAACAATAAGAATCAGTAGCAGCTTAGATGGTGAAGCTGTACTTCCACTAAAATACTGTCTATGAAAATACACAATTTACCACTTTTAAAGGGAAAGTTACTAAGTATTCTGTTTCTTAAGATATATAACATTTTATTTTATAACCAAAGCAACACTTCTTACCTTATTTTTCAGTGTGTATTACACAGCATTTTAACTGCTTTGGTTCACTATTACTAGGCCTCATTTCCTCAGTGCCTCAGGGAGCACAGGAAAGTAAGGAATGCGTTATAAATTAAAAATATTATTTAAATTTTCTGAAAATGGGCACATTAGGCAAACTGATTAACTATCCTTTTCCACCGAATGATAAACTCAACTTCAAGGTAAGCATATATTATAAGTATCTGCTCCTTTTATGTTCCATTTTGACATTATTTAACTATCATTCTATCTAAATGCATTCTTGTTCCATTAGCATGGATATGTCAGTGAGCAACACCGACTGAAAAAAGAATTCTTAAGCACTTCTTGTGTGCAAGATAGGTGATAAATACAGGAGACACAGCAGCAGACACTACATAGCTAAACTCAATTCTAACAGAGCACAAAAGTAGTAACTTTTCTTCCTTCCATTTAACATCAAGACAGTCTCTCTAAAATAAGCTTCAAAATCGACAAAAATTTGCCTTCAATTGTTGATTTACAACATTATGGCAATTCAATATCCATGGTCTAAAGAAATGATATTTTCATTACTTGGATTTCTTAAAAGGAGATTCCTTATTTCACAGCTCTTCATGATAGACAGCATTGTTTTGTAGCTTGGATGAAAAATCTGTGACCACAACACAATAGCTTAAAATAACAAGCAAAAAATTCATTTTATACAGAACCTCTTTTAAACCTGTTATCAGTGGAAGTGTTTTATAAAATGGAATGTAAGATCTAGCCACTGTTTAGGTCTATCAAATATTCTGAATAATTTTCTAAGCATTAGAATTTTAGGATCATCTATAGATGCATTCTTAAGAAAAATAACTAAAATTATGAGAAATCTAACTCACTTTATTAATGGTCTTACTTTTCACATCTTTTGGGGTCTATAAAGCCTAAACTTCAAAATATGACTTCATTTTTATATGAATGCCTTGCATACAGAAATTGTGAACAAAATTATTGATAGTCCGTGTAACTTGCCAAACTGTTATTTTTGACTAAATAAAAATTTCAAATAAAAAGCATTAACGCAAAGAGTAACTTTAAAGGGAGCCATTATACTCTATATAAAAGTAATTTGAATTTTTGATGAAATGCTATGTAAACATAACAGGTTTAAAAATAAAGATCACTGACATATGATTATTATTAGATCTTAAAATAACATAATCCATCCAGTTTCCTCTCATTGGAACTAGTTAACATCTGATTGTACATATGACTGAAATATTGTCATTGTGTTATAATAGTTTTGTCTAAAGATTATAATGGATGATAATTTGGTAATTCATCAGCATCTTGAGAAAATAATCCTTTCAATTAATCTCTTAAATATACCAAGATATGCCTGATATTTAAAGATGGTATGAAAACTCAAAATATAACCAAGTCAAAAATTTCATAAATAAGCAAAAATAAAATTTAAAACTGAAAACCTGAAAATTACTGAAGTAATACTAACCTTAGAACCCTGGACATGCATTAGACAAAACAGACAACAGACCAAAAAAAGTACAAGAAAAGAAAATCATTAAAATTAAATGAAAATACAATGTAAAATCGAAACACAAAATAGATTTTAAAATTATATTTGATTTTATTAAAAGCAAAAATTATCAGAAGAGATGTTCATTTTATAGATTACATGAGTAAGATTAAATATCAAATATTTAGACTTGAATTTTTTTTTCATTAGAGCAACTACCCAAATTACATGTAAATATAGTTTATATATAACTAGAAATTATGCATACTCTATTTTATAAAATATGTATCTTTTCCTAGAAAACGACTAAGGAAACATTTTAATAAATGAAATAATACAGTGTCTTTGTAAAAGCCTTAACTCAATACTGGTTCAGGTAGAAATGACTTAAGGAAATAAAGTGTACCAACCTTCTAGAATTTTCATTAAGGAATAGATATAAAATACTGAAAGTATTTGGTGCCTTTCCTATAGATCAAAATCCCCAGGAGTTAATAAGAGAACAAAATATTTGATTGATTATAACTTTAAAACACTCCACTTGTAGGAAAAGAACTTAATAATACACTAAATGAGGTCTGCATGTGAACTCTGCTACCTACCTAGATACACTACTAAGAGAATGACGTTCAGCATATTCAACACTCTGGACACCATTAGGCTTCACAGAATATCCCTATTCTCTGATTTTTGATAACGAATACATCTGAACATAAATCCCACAAATACACTATTTTCATGATATAATATGTAGGAAGACATATAAAAGCCCATCCTAAAAATAAAGTATGATCAGTTTTATGTGATAAACAAAACACAAAAATTAGTTTATCTTCCAAATCTATTAACTACATATTCTGATGATACAAATGATAAACTAAATTAAGACCTTGTCATTTTCAATGACAAAATTCTCTTCTTTCTTATGATTATGAAACTACCAGGAAAGCCAGAAAGAACAGTCTCTCTGATTTTTTTGTAAGAGAAAATGAAACCATACATGACACTGAATTAAATTCTAAACATTCAGTGTTCTGGATGACTGACCAAAACGGTCAGCTTAAAATCACAAAGTGATTACACAATTTGTCGTTGATCCACATTCCTTGCTCTCATTTTTTTCTCCATTCTTTGCTTTAATTTGTGACCAACTTGAACAATGGGTGGAGAATAAATGAGAGGATTCAACTGACTAGTCATGGAAACATTAACTCCAAAAATCAACAACAAAAATAATGTTCCAAAATCAAAGACTGTGCCAACTACGTACTGAGAAGTCTAATTTTTTTCTCCCTAAGGACAAAAATTAAAGCCATGGGTCTAATTTAGAGTCTTGAGACAATTTCTGTCACTTATTTTCTATGCCACATGGGATATTACATCATTTAGGCAAAACCGAAACTCCAAAAAGCCCTGCTTCTTGAATACATATCAGAATAAAGTTCAAGGCGTTCACTAGAATGTATAACTATTCTTTTTTCCTTCAGGCTTCCATTAAGACATTTCCTCACAAGTAAAATTAAGTAGCTCAAACTCTCTTACATGCTGATACTATATAACAGCAATACACAAATGCTGTTCTTAATATGAATTACTGTATTCATATGAGGTCCCAGGGCAAAAACCAGACCACCACCATGCCAGTCCTATGCAGACAGGTTGCAGAAAGGTTACATATACTGTTTTAGTCCTTTTCCACTACAATGGGTCACTCATAGTAACTAAATGTTTCTCAGATATCCTACTGTAAACTTCACGACTCTGAATATGACAGGCTTATTTTATAAATGGCAAGATTATTCTATCATGATACAATTCTGAAAAAACAGTTCCAAAAGGAACGTAAGAAACATTCACTGAGCCTTCTCCACCTCGTGCACGTGGCAAGTATTACCTAACTGAATTGCCACACATTCTCTGTTGGGTGAGTATAGCTGAAGCCTTCTAATAAATGACGAAACTGAGGTTGAGGTCATATCCAGTAAGTGGTAGAACATAGGTTAAAATACAGGGTCATCTTATATATTAAAACCTATATACCTCATTTTAAATCATAATTTCAGAAAGATTCTGTCCGAGTCTCACTGATAGTGGGCCACAACATTTTGATAAAAAGGAGTAAATTATCTGAGATCCACACTTACACTGAGAAATGAAAATGACAAATTCCTGGGTTAGCATTGCATCATTTTTTTAAAAATAGAGAACTATAAAGAATACTTAGCATTCTACTTACCCTTTCAAAATTAAAAACAATTTCAACATTAGATATGTCAAATGCTAAAAAAGTTAGTACAGCTAAGTGGAAAGTGACACATCTAGTGGAATATAACATTCAGTGAAATCGTTGTAAAAAAGTAAACTTCAATAAATGTTCAGTAAGTCACATTTAAGTTCTTGTTCAATAGGAAAGAATGAATTTATCCTCAGCTCTAATTACTGAATTTTCAATGGTCAACAGTAAGTGGTAAGTTTTCACACTAAAACATACTCTGACATTTGTATTTTATGCTCTAAGTCAGATGGTCAGCAAACTATGGCCCTTAAATCAAATCTGCCCCACTGCCTGTCTTTATAAAAAGTTTTATTGAGATGACCCCACATGTATTATTTTATGTAACTGTCTATGGCTGCTTTTGCACAATAGCAGAATTAAGTAGTAGGGACAGACACCACATAGTACCTGTCTAGCTGATCCATACGAAAAATGTTGCCAATCACGGCCATACCGTCATTACTCATATTTATTCATTAAATGCATATCTGCATATAATGCATAAATATTCTGAAAAACTCCACAAACCTAAACAAAATGACTAGATCACTCAAACATTAGTTTCAAACATTTCTCTCTGTCTTTATACAACCTAGGATTGAATTCTAACGGCATCTAAATGGCAACGCTTCCCTTTGGCAATCTGTGTATCACCAGGGTTTCCTTTTTCACTTATTCCTTCCAAAATTCTCTTTCGGCTTTTTACATTTTGATCTAAGTCAAAAAGCTCCATATCTTCAACTTGATTTCCTTCTTTGTTCAACAATCTCCTTCCTAACTTTTTCACCCTACTACAATGTTTAGGAAGAATATTCTGTAATCAAGTAACAGAAACAACACTCAGCAATCAGGACCAATCACTGTTCTGCCAATACGAAGGGAGGCTGGGGAAATCCGCCTGTTTCTTTCAAGGAAGCCATCTAGTCAACAACATCCAATCAGCTATGTTGTACAACCGGGCATAGATACAACCAGTGAAAGGACCAAAATAGCAGAAACCCAGAGACAGAAACAAAAAGAACTTTCTACCACTGAATGAATCCCCAAGTCTGTTGCGAACACTCTAGACAGTACATGGTTTCAAATTCCAAACTACAGTGCTTAAAACTGCACAGGTAATAATTTTGGAAGTCAAATGTCAAGATGTCAGTATTTGTATTGAACCCTCATTTAAAATAAAAAGAAAGCAAATTTGCGTAGTGAAATAGGAATAAATCATGTTTATTGACAATTTACTTCACTAATTTACTGTTTTTTGTATCCTCTTAGAGATCTTACAGCTTTAAATTTGGGCATGTGGATGAAACAGGTGAAGGGGATAGAGAGGCACAAAATCTGAATATTAATATAAATCAGTCACAGGGGTGAAAGTACAGCATAGGGAACACAGTCAATGATACTGTAATAATATCGTGTCATCTCTGTGTTGCCAATAGTGACAATATCTGTAATATATTTGTGTAATAATCAGGAGACCGGTTGGATCAGTATGCTGTTCACCTGAAACCAACAGAATACTGTATATCAACTATACTTTAATAAACCCTTTTTTTTATTTAGAAGACTATTTGGAATGTATTTCAACCTGATACAAACTTTAATACCTACTACTAATTTTATAAAGAGATCACTTTTTTGTTCTGAACCAAATTTCAAAACAATACTAAAAAGTGAATTTCAACACAACCTTTTAAAAATATTTAACAAAGGATAATACACAAAATGTAAAACCAAATTTCATGATGAAGAAAAATGCCAGAAGGTAAAAAAATGATTTATTTTGTTCTTAATGCATGGAAGGCAGGGGGCGACCTCTCCTGCCTCAAGTATTAAAATGCATTTTTAAAATCACACACAACTTTCAATCAGTTACCAGGAAATGGTAAACTGCTAATTACTGCATCACCAGAGGAAACCAGAGATGGCGGAGGAGGGATGGCACATCCGTCTCACCGGATACCTGCCGCCCTTCATACGCCATCAGCTGTTTTCCTTCCAGGCTGCATCTCCTGGTCGGCTGCTGATTCCAGTCAGGCCCTCATGGTGACCTGCCCTGCACTCCCTCATGAGCTGACCTGCTGGCCTTTGCACACACCTTGAATGAATTCATGGATGAAGTCAAAGTGTATGTGCTTGTGTGGGGAGAGGGGTGTAGAGGAGACAATGTTTGGCTGCTAATATTTAAGTTTCAAAGCTGCTTTGGGGTGGTGGCACTGACAAAAGAATCGTGAAAAAGGAGTCTCATATATATAGTTTAAAATAATATTAAGTTTAGAAATAACATTGCAAGCAACTCATATGAGACTGCATATCTAAAGGTTTTGGCTATATTTAAATTTATGACTGCAATTATTACACAGTAGCCATGTACTTGTATTTTGAACTTGAATGATGACAGAACAAGAATTCTGGCACTGGATTACAAGACAGACCTGAAGAGACAGACAATCTATGGAAAACAAAGTTAACATATAATTATGGTTCTTCCTAAGGAGTGTTCATCAGAATTAGCAGAAATATGTTTACAGGCATACATAGGTGGCATCTCACAGTGACAAGTAAGTGAGGCAGGAATGTAAATATATATATCTCATATATATCTATAAATATAAATTTATATGGTTAAAAAGTTTCCTTAGGTGAACGTGTCTTGCTGAAACCCATCTTTTCACAGTCCGGCCCACGGACATTCTCTACTCATGTAATTCTACAGCGCGGCCGCTAGATGGAGGCCAAGCACTCACGGTCGGCGACGTGGCGGCCGAGAGCAAGGGCAGGATCCCTCCGCACGCGATGATGATGTTGTCCACCATCTGGGAAATGAGGTGAATCGTGTTATGCACAAAGATAATGTTCTCGTTGCTGTTGACGAAATCCATTACAGACTTTGTAGAATGGCTAAAACAGAAAAAAACAAACGAACAAGGCCTAAGAACAAGCAGCTTAAACACTGTAGCATTTTTAAAGTGAAAAATAATGCAGAGCAGGGCAAATTTAAAATGGAGTTATCATAAAATAACTTACAATTAAGATACCGTATTACCAAAAACTCAGCATTCATCTCTACAGTATATTTTTGTGTCCAAAGTATTCACACATGATTTGGCTTTATTAACTAGATTCAGAGTGTGTTAACTAGATTCAAAGATAGATGAGTACGTCAATGAATTTGGCTAAACAAAAAATCTTTTTTCCAAAGCTGCTTGTTTTGTCTTGAAAGGCAGAACAATTGGATAGTAATTGGAAGTTTTAGCTTTCAGGCAGTTTTAACCAGTGGCCTCACCAGACTGCAGCCCCACCTTTAGCCACCCTGAAAACATCCTGCCAGTTACAGAAGTGACAAGGGACGTAACCCCCCATCCATTTATAGGGGACTATATAACTGGTAACAATTCCGGGACTTACCGAATAAAAAAGGGAAAGACCTCAGGGGTCAGGAGTGCGCCTTTCCTACACAAAATATACAATGTAGACATCCAGAAAAATACACTGGCTTAGTTTGGTGTCAGGCACGAATATGAACTATTTTCTAATAAGAAAATAAGAGATCATTTCATGCTCAAGTTTACGGCAATGATTCTCACCTTTTTAGAATTGCAAAATAGCATCTATTATGCTTGAATCTCAAGATGCTATTTCCTGTCTTTAAAAATAAAGTGCAATCTCTTAAAAAAAATTTATATTACATAAAATTCTGCTTGGAGGATATTATGAGAGCCCAAGAAAGAAAACAGACATGTACAGTATGTTAAAGGAAGGAAAGTTGAGTACCACTCACTTGGGGGCTAATACTATCATTAATAAATCACACTATATATTTCTATACATTTATACTCATGTAATGTATTTCATGGTATTCCAGTTTCCTTATGTTTCATCCCTAAGTAATTTAGCATATAACAACATTAGCAATGGGAAGACCATTGTTTTGGTAACATGATGAGACTGATGTGAAAGTTGATTTAAGTCGGAAGTAAAAACTCTGTGCAGCAGACACCGACTGCTTCCATGGCCGTCACTGCTTCTCCCCTGCTAATAGCATCTAGGTTTTGCTGTTAGGGAGCTAGACTGGGTATAGGAAGGCTGGCTTCACCCCAGCCGCCAGGTCCTGCACCAGCCTTGCTCTGCACAGGCCAATCACCATGGTATCATTAGGATCCCATTAGGCTTGTAACTTAGATGAAAATATTTATGTTTCTACAAAAAACTGAAATGTCTATTTTTCATAAATTCAACTTGTGACATTTATTCAATGATACCATTTGCTTATGAATCAGTTGATGCCAGCAATTTAAAATATTCATTTTCTTAAGTGAAGGTAGTCTCGATTTATAGAAAAGAAATATTCTACCTCCTCCAAACATGTACATCTGTTTCTAATGCAAACAGCAAGTCGGTGAGAAGTCGCTGGTGCATCGGCGACCACTTAAACTCGGGAATACGGAACATGGTCGTGCGTGGACCCGGGCTGAACTGGCGCCGCTGTTCCTCGGTCATGGGCATCCCTCGGAATCCCAAGTCAACTCGGAGATCTCTGTCTTGCTGAGTGACAGACCGACCCTGAACAGCCTAGAGAAAGAAAAGGTGAGCTTTATTGCAAGAGAAAACACCTGATTTCAGAATGAAAACGGTAGAGTAAAGCTTTTGTACATGGCTTTGGTAGGTTAATACATTTTACACATGTGAACCACCTGGTGACTCACATGCAGAAACCTTTTTGAGCTGACAAAGCTACTGTTTATTATTTTTACTTTTGTTGTTTCAGAAAGTAGGCAAGATCATTAAATACTTGAGTTTAACATGAAATTTCATAATGCAAACCAGACCCTTGGTATCCCATTTATGAAGTCTTTGCATTTGCCCACCCCTTCTGAATGTAAGCATACACTCACCGCAAAGGATTCTGGATACATGTCTTCAACAGGTGTCATTAGAAACACAAGAATAAAAGAAATATTACTTGAATAGACTTAAGTAAACTTCAAAGTCTATTCCATTCTTAATATTTCCATTTAGAAAAAAAATGCATTTGATAAGTTAGGAAACCAGAAAAATGCCTATGAACTTTGAGTGAAAAACAGGGAATTCTAGTGGTCACTATATCCACTGAACAATGCCGCGTGCTTCCTGATATTTTGAATTTGTGCCTAATTCAGTGCTCCCATCCCCTGCCAATTATCACTGCAGGACAACTGCCACAAAAATGGAAATTGGCAGTAAATAGGGAAAAAATAAAAATACCTTTCTCACATACAGGGTTAAGGATTCTTATTAGAAAACAAAGATACCAGGAACGTATGGCTTACTCTTTATTACTCTAATGGAAACATGTTAAATTGATCTTCAATGACATTAAAAGGTAAGTGGAAAACCCAGAGAACACCAATAACAAAAACTATTAAGTATAAAAGTTTTCTTCAGCTCTTAATCATAGGTATTATTTAGCCTAGAAACTAAGGAAGCCGATTTAGAGCTCAAAGCTCGGCAATTAAAATCTGTACCAGGAGGCATCACCTGTCATTAGTTTTCTTTGGTGAGGCCAGAGAAAAACTGCAGCACCACCATTTCCTCACCACCAGGCCCCCAAGTCTTTAATTTCCCCATAACAACTTCCTCTCCGCGTGGTCATAAACAAAGCTCTCACTGCTGATAATTCCGAGTCTTCTCGGCCATGCTGCCTACTCACGGGGTGGCTGCGAGGATCAAACCTGAAAGCACAGAGCGCCGTGCCTGGAACGTAACAGGCGCTTGATAAGTAACAGTTCCCTTTTCCCTCCCCTTCCTGTAATTTATCAGCTCAGTCTGGCTCCAAGTCCTCTTGACAACAATCCACAGAACAGCACTGGGCCTGCGGCTTAAAAGGTTAAAAGTCAATCGTGCATCCGGAATGAGCATCTCCAGGGCAGAACGTGTGAATGGGGTCGCAGAGCCGCGCAATGTGAGACCCGGCGGGGCCCCGACGGGCCGAGCGCTGGTGCAGCGCCACCTCTTGGGCTGGGAAGGAAGCTCAGGCCCCGAGAGGCTGAGCAAAGTTAGACAGAAGGCAGCGGAGGTTCAAACGTAATGCGGATGTTTTAAGTTTCTTTTATACATAACATCACACTACTCACTTCCCTGACCTGCTGTCATACATAATTACATTTAGACAGGATGCAATCGGTACGCATTTCCTCTGTTTTGGCGCTGCCGACTCAGCGTCTCCCCAGGCAGTCCCGGGACCCACGGCCCCCCTGCTCACCTGTGTGGTGGTCGTGGTCTGGATTTTCCGGGTTTCCTTCGGCTCTTTCCCGTCGTCAGACCTCTCGGTGTCTGAGATTATACTTCCCGCATCAATGTTTGGTACCATTTTGCTCCCAGAAGGCTCGGTCTCCAGGGCGGCCGCAGTCACCTCGGCGTACTCCAGCCCCTTCGAGGACGCCGCCAGGTCCCTTTCAGAAACAGTGCCCATGCCATCTGACGTCGTGTGGATTTTGAACTCTTTTTCTTCCATCATACTCGACGTGCAGGGTAAGTCGACACTGCCGGTCATGTGGGCGAGCAGTCCGAGATCATCGGCGACGCCGAGGTGCACTTGCGCGTCCTGAATATTCGGAATGATGTGGTTGCTCGAGAGTTCCGGAAGGAGTTTCTCCTCCTGTTTGGGTATTTTATCAAAGAGGAACGCTGCGTTACTACTGGGAAGGTCATCTTTCTCATCGGCTAAAGTTATCAACGGACCATTATCTTTTTCTTCATTTTTCTTAATGATGCCCACACTCCCGTTCTGGCTCCAAGTCCTCTTGACAACAATCCACAGAACAGCACTGGGCCTGCGGCTTAAAAGGTTAAAAGTCAATCGTGCATCCGGAATGAGCATCTCCAGGGCAGAACGTGTGAATGGGGTCGCAGAGCCGCGCAATGTGAGACCCGGCGGGGCCCCGACGGGCCGAGCGCTGGTGCAGCGCCACCTCTTGGGCTGGGAAGGAAGCTCAGGCCCCGAGAGGCTGAGCAAAGTTAGACAGAAGGCAGCGGAGGTTCAAACGTAATGCGGATGTTTTAAGTTTCTTTTATACATAACATCACACTACTCACTTCCCTGACCTGCTGTCATACATAATTACATTTAGACAGGATGCAATCGGTACGCATTTCCTCTGTTTTGGCGCTGCCGACTCAGCGTCTCCCCAGGCAGTCCCGGGACCCACGGCCCCCCTGCTCACCTGTGTGGTGGTCGTGGTCTGGATTTTCCGGGTTTCCTTCGGCTCTTTCCCGTCGTCAGACCTCTCGGTGTCTGAGATTATACTTCCCGCATCAATGTTTGGTACCATTTTGCTCCCAGAAGGCTCGGTCTCCAGGGCGGCCGCAGTCACCTCGGCGTACTCCAGCCCCTTCGAGGACGCCGCCAGGTCCCTTTCAGAAACAGTGCCCATGCCATCTGACGTCGTGTGGATTTTGAACTCTTTTTCTTCCATCATACTCGACGTGCAGGGTAAGTCGACACTGCCGGTCATGTGGGCGAGCAGTCCGAGATCATCGGCGACGCCGAGGTGCACTTGCGCGTCCTGAATATTCGGAATGATGTGGTTGCTCGAAAGTTCCGGAAGGAGTTTCTCCTCCTGTTTGGGTATTTTATCAAAGAGGAACGCTGCGTTACTACTGGGAAGGTCATCTTTCTCATCGGCTAAAGTTATCAACGGACCATTATCTTTTTCTTCATTTTTCTTAATGATGCCCACACTCCCGTGCACATTGTTCTGGAGTTTCTCCACGGCGGCACTGTACACGTTGTCCAGCAAGGACTCCACCTCCACAAGGGCGCCGTTCTCCGCCCCTACCAGAGTCTCCGGTGACAGGTCCATGTCATCCAGCTTGACCTCGGTGGCTTCCACTTTCTCTGCTTTTATATCCACTAGAAGGTCGTGCACTTCCACGTGCACACCGCCGCCCGGGCGATCGGGGTTCCCGAGGATGGCGTCGGACACTTTGGTGGACATGAGCAGGTCCCTCGTGTCCGCGCTCACCGGGTAATCGGTCTCACTTTCTGGGCTCTGGCTCTGGGAAAGGTCCTCTATCTCCCGGATCTCCATGCCGCCCTTCGCTCCTGTCGCCTGGGACGAAAGACCCGAGATGGTGCTCACGTTGCCCTTCTTCCCCTTCTTAATGTTTTCCTCCTCCTGTCTCTGATATTCCTCGTACATCTTGGCCAGGTATTCTTTGTGTGCCTCATAAGTGACCTTAGGAAAAAGCAAAGAAAACTTTAGGGCATTTTATATAGCTCAAGAAGAGAAAACATAAAATATATTTAAAGTGTGTATATACAAAATATTTAAAAAGTATTTTATACATACTTGTAATAAAAATTTTACAAACATATATAAAAAGAATACATATGTATGTATATAAAATTACGGTGATAAAAGTGCCCAGATTTTTAACATTTCAATCATAGCACGCATAAATCCTAAAACAAGGGCTTGGTTTCATCAGGTAATTGGAAATAATCATCAAAAACAGGAAAACCAGAATTATTAAAGTTTTAAATAAACAGGTTTCTTTTAAGTACTTCAATATTACCCTAACCTAATATGCCAGCTAAATTCGTACATCTTCGACTTGAGCTAAAGTAGGTAATTGGATAACAATATATAATATCCCAGGTACTATTATTATATCAGTTTTCATCATCTATTACTGTGTGCTTATTTCAAGAACTGAGGTTAAAAGAAATCACACATATCTATAAATATATACGTTATTTATAAACTTATTAAAACACCACAGTTTTACCTTTATATAGGCTACTTTGTTACATTACATAGGATTGTTTAGGAAATAACCAGATTATATATATCTTGCATAAAGAAGTACTACGCCTTTCCTATAAAATACTATTTAAAAATTTTTTAATACAATAAAAGTAAGGAGCCCCAAATTTTTAAAATGTAAGAAATAAAACCTCTAAAATAAAGAAACAAAGTTCATAATCTTTTCTTCTGAGTACATATGATATTAATTTATACTTAAATGATAGGATAACAGAATTTAGGTTGATAGGCACCTTCCTTTGGAGATTATCTTGATACAAAAATCCCTTCATTTTACAGAAGAGGAAATTAAGACCCCAAAGTAAGGGTTGGTAAACTACACCCCACTGACCAAAGCTGCTCATCACCTGATTTTAGTAAATCAAGTTGTATTAACACCCAGTCATGTATATTTTTTTACGTACTATCTCTGGCTGATTTCACTCTATATGGCAGAGTTGAATAGTTGTATCAGAGGCTGTATATCCCATAATGCCTAAAATATTTACTATCTCTAATTTCAAAATATTTTTCTAACCCCTGCACAGAAGGATTAAATGAATTCCCTTAAGTCACGTTACTGAATTGTGGCACAGACTGTATGTATAAAAGTCAAACTTGACACCCATGCTTTTTCTATGACACCACATGGTGACAAAAATTAACTCTGATTTTCCAGAACCTCATGTGTACATAACTGTACACTTTAATTCACTACTTCCTTTTACCAAAGATCAGATAATATTTAAACTATAGATGTACTGATTATTAGGATTAAAAGTATAGCAATGCAATTAAAAACACAACTAAAATTGAATACTTCAACGTATTTATGATTCGCTTGGAAATAAAAACAATTACTGACTACTTTTTACAAGTCTTAAAAATCATATTTCAGAGTCTACTTCATGAAATATTCTTATAACAACCATTAGATTTAGTTAAAAGACTAATTGGCTTAGACTCAAGTTATCAGAACTGCTATAAAACATATGTGGGGTCATCACTGGGGTCTAAATTCCTAATTTAGCACCTTGGAGCTTCAACTAAATGGTCTAAAAAACACTTTTAAGTTCTAACAGTTGTAAACAAAGAGGGAAAAAAAAACAAAACCAGAAGAGAGAAAACAGGGCTAAAGCGATCAGCCATGGCGCGTGCCGCCCACAAGATGGCGCCAGAGGAGTGTTTGCGGGAAGCCCTGATACCGTGACACGCGCAATCCCGTTACCTTGGAATGGGCTATTGAGAGCGTGTCCACCCAGACTCTCCAGCCTCCCCACTCGTATTTTATTGCGTGATATAAAAGGATCCGGAAGATATTGTAGACCATCTCCGTGATCTTCTGCTCCTCAGAATTTTTAGGATTGATATAGCCAAGAGAAAACATCCAATCCTGCCATACTGAACACTGCAATAAGCATCTAGTGGGGAAAAAACTCATTAAAATACCTAAAGGATGCTGAATTTACTATTTTGAAATTTTGATAGTGAAAATGTGCTATGACCTAAGTAAAGCACAGTGCACAGTCATTCTCCACACGCTACACATTCCCTGTGTGAAATGACTTCTCCCATCACTCTACCTGGGAAAATCCTAATCACCATTTAAAATCAGTTTTCTCTCTCTCTCTCAGTCAGATTATGCAGCACTCACAATGCACGTCATACACTTTAAATCAAGCATCGCTCTACTGTCCCCTTTCCGACAGAACTGTCTTTTAAATAAGGGTCTGTAGATATGCATATTCACATACACAATTAAAATATAATACTTGTACAATGAAATAAAAACATATAAAAATAAACAGAAGCATAATGAATGCCTATTATATCAAAGAAATATATAGTACCCTTTTTAATGATTTAATGTATTTAATGATACGGCAAACATTTGAAAACTTTTCTTTAAATTGAAAATAAATAAGAGAAAAATACGATTATGGAATAAAGTTCCGTGACAGGATTCAAACTGCTTACCTTCTATTTTCACGGCTGTTACTGAAAAGTTTTATCATGTCAGATAAAAATAAACGACGAACTTCCATCAGTTCTGCACTGGGTGTAGAGTTTTTTAACAAAGTTGCCACCACCTTAAGAATCACTGTAAATGAACCAAGAAAAAGGTAAAGATTTATAACTGCATTTTGATTTCCACTCACAAATTAGTTACTGATTTTCAACTAAATGCTTAGCCCTATAGTAGGTGAGTTATAAGTGTCATCAACTATGTAGACACATAATGATTTAGATGGTGAGGGAAAGTTGGATTTAGTCTCACATGTTACCATGTTACTAAAATACAGTACAATAAAGAATTGCTGATTGCTCACTTGGATTCTGAATTTTCACGGTAGAATCTGGCTCTGGGTGTGGTTTGTGTACGACTTGAGTACACACTTGCTCTGTCAAGATCTGAAAGACGAAGAATTTGAATTTCACTTAGAAAATAATTGAAATCATAATTGCAAAATATAGATACACAGAAATCTGCAAAAAATGTCAATTCTGTTCAAATCAAAAGAAACATCTATTCTAAGGGTCTTCCAGTGAATTCCACATACTTCTAACTCTTTAACTCTGCAGTCTCCAATCTGTTTATTATGGAAAAATAAAAACAGTAACTATAGAAGGAAAGATTAATTAGGAAATCCCAGAATTTATTCTGCTTGCAATACCTTTTCTGTACATTCTTCATATGCTTATATTGTGAACTGTAAACATTTGACTTTTTATGTCATCATTCATTTTAGAAAAACTTAGAAAGTAAGGAAATAATGAGTCTCAATTTCAAAATAAAGTATGGTAAGAGAAAAAAATCTTTATAGAACATGTGGCTCGTCATTTACTATTGAATTTTTTAAAAACTTTCAAATAAGAAAAAATGATAAAAGTTGACCAAATAAAGGAAATAGAGAATTCTAAAACATTTACTAATGTTGCCACTAAAACTGTCTCCATGAGTACAGGATTCTTATCCATCTTTTCCACTATTACATTCCAGCAATTATCACAGTGCCTGACACTGTCAGGGCTCAGTAAATATTTGTAATATTTAAGAATGAGTAGCAGATACACTGGATTTGGGGCTTTAGCCTGCATTTACCTCTATTCTTGCATAAATTAAAAAAATTTGATGAGACTATCCTTAGAAGATATTTTATATTTGTGATTTCATTTCCTGTTTAGCTTAACAGGTTAAGTTCTGAATGAACTTTTTAAAATAATTCAATCTAATGTAAGTGCAAAAACTGTGGGAAACTACCGAAGTTAGTTGAGAGCCTACTTGTGCATAGCTATCTTGCAAAAGTTGGAGATAGAAAAAGTACATTAATCAAAAGACAGGGCTGTTCATTTCTGAATAGAAAAAGATCATGACATCCAGTAGTGTCATTTTTCTTACCTTTTTGCTCAGACTTAAAAAAAAAAATTGAAGGATAGAGAATTTACTTAGGTATATTAGGAATGTATATCAAAAAGTACTGACCTGAAATAAAAACTTATCTACTATTACTAAAAGTGTAAATGTAGAGCGTAAGTACCCCTCTTCCCCTCACTCCCATACTTTGTGGAAACTAAACACTTTGTCATTAAAACGAAACAGTGCCTCAGAATCTTCTAAGACAGCACTCTAGATGTGCACTACCATTAAGATGGAGCTGAGGGCGAACAAATTTCATTGAAACCACCTACAAAGAAGAATCAGTGGATGGTATATGCCCACAAGGAGTTTTCACACCGATCTACCCAAAAGGCCCTGGCTTGGACCACAGCCCAGTGGACAGAACCCTGAGAATTCTGGTTACAAACAAAGAGACTCAAACTAACTTGAAAAAGACTAGGCTATACTCTTCCAAGGAAGAGAACTTTCTTACCCAAAAAAGGAAGAAATCTCACTGCACAGAAAAAATTCATCTCAAAGAGTCTCCAGTTTTAACTGTGCTCTTAAAGTATCTATCTGATCATATAACAATGAGGATAATAATTACTTTCTCTGCCTAATAAAGCTGCTAGAAAGATCAAGTAAGGCTTTCTGAGTTTTCTAAATTACAACAATGTATTTAGAAACTCAATTCAGCAAGTGTTTATAAAGAACCAGTTATGTGCCCATACTCTGTTCCATGTTTGGAATGGAAAACAGTTGGTAAATGGAACTACATTTGTAGAATCACTTACTTAATATTCTAGAGACAGGCATAAACCCGTGTCCCTGTTAAACAATAAGATGTGGTGGATTGTCTGTCATTAACCTGTGTGAGTTTTCAAAAGGGGGAGAAAATCATGAGATCTAAGTAAGGAGAGGTGAATGTAGATGTCAACGTTTTGATGAAAGCTTAGGACGAAGATGGCAAAGAAAGTCTGACCGGACCTGGTTAGAGATACGCCTAGGAAGCTAGCCCTGCTGCACCCCTACAGACAAGACAGCCCAGAAGGTTCAGAGCCAGATACGGACATGAACTCCAACGTGTACTTGACACTAACTGCATGTCTCAATTCACACCAGCCACTTCCACACGTTCCGCAGCCACATGTGCCTGGCGGCTATCATATCGGTCAAGGCTAGAAAGCGACAATCAATTATAAGCACGGAGGCAACTTACTTAATGAATATGTTACTTGATAGACACAGATTTGAGTCCAACGTTAAACATTTGAATTTTATATTACAAGTGGAATTATCTTGTCATTCATGGGTCACAGGAAGACTTGGGGCCTGAGCAGAAGCTACAGAAGCTTCCTCTTGACTTACTCCCTTCCCCAGCCCCGTCCAGAACAAATCATTTTGGATTAGTAGGTTCAGTTTTCGAGACAAGAGTAATGCTAGTTCATCGCTTCAAGTTGCAAACTACTGACCCCACTGTTATATCTGACTGCCGCTGTAGGTATTCAGGAGTCAGAGGATCTTTATAGCTTTACAGTGGGACAAGCTATAACGCATTTTTGACTCATTTTCTTTATCTGTGAAAATAATGTTTGAATAACATGGTATGACCATACTGTCCACCTCTGAGACTCTATGGTTTTGAGAAAAGAGTTTTATTATGAGGTATTTAAAAGTCTTAAAGTTGGTGACCACTTTATAAAAATCAATGCTTAGAACTTTTTATATCTGTACTGAAAAAGATGAAATAACTAAACAATATACATGTAAAAAAAAAGTCAGTTCATTGTTTCTGTAAGAATCTGAGATCTTTAGATGACAAGAGGCCCTGGCTGCCTCTGTCTGAACTAAGAGTTTAACTGAATTGTACATTAAGTGAAGCAGTAAATTCAAACCTATAAAAGTAAAAATTAATATCACAATATTTAATAAAGTAATGAATCACATAGTGTTGTTGAGATCTGCAAGTAATCAAACAGAAAAATCTAGTTTTGTCCTTGGAAGACTTAATCTAAAATCTAACATATTACTTAGTGTGCTAGGGAGTGCTACAAAACCCTAAAAAAAGAAAAAAAAATAAAATCACTCAGAATTTAGGGATGGGAGTAACAACGTAAAACTAAAGCAAATGACATTAACAATAAAACTTTGCAAATACTGTAATTAATACAAATGTTATATTTATATTAAATATCTTCAAAATATTTGTATAAAAATAGCTTTGAGTAATTTCAAAGACAAGTCTTCTAAAGCCAACAACTCACTTGGTACATGACCTCCAAGAATAAACTCACCTCAGAAAATGAGGGGACAGAGATGTTTCGTAGTTAATAATCTTTTGGTTTTCAGAATAATTACGATAGATCTTACATCTATAACTTAGGCAATGTTGCCTGATATATCCTGCTAAAAAGCCTAACTTACTTTGTACTTTCATATTTGTTATTTTTTCTATTACAGTCATATTATCAGATTCAGAATTTTAAAGGTCACAGTGATATTAGTCTGTACCCTAATTGGGCTTCCCAACACTTTGCAAAATCCACATTTTCTAAAATATCATTACCAACACTGTATGTTGGACACAGTTCTTTATTATTTCTGTACTTAATTGAACACTTTCCTGCAGTTGTAATGACATGTACAGAGGGCACGTGACATGTACAATGTAAAGAGGGCACGTGAACCCCTGTGCAGTGGCTGCATCGTGACTGTAGGGCGCCACACAGCAGGGCAGAGAGCCCGGGGAGCAACCTCGGTCGCCTGCAGCTGCTCAACGCTGCTGCCGCAGCGAGAAAACCCCCACAGGCAACACGTGAAGGAGAGAGCGTGGCTGGTTTCCAACAAAACTGTGTATGGACACAGATCTGAATTTCCGGTAACTTTACATGTCTGATATTATTTTTCTTTTGATTACTGTCAATGATTTAAAAACACAAAAGCCATCCTGAGTTTGTGGCTGTGCAGGGACAGCTGTTCGCAGAACCCGTGCACTAGTGAAAAGAGCAAGGACCACTGAAGACCAGTAGCGGTCAAGCAGGGCTAAGGTTAACATACGGGAACATTTCTAATATTTTTCTGGTGCTTAAAAATCAAAACAGATCCTTTGGGCAGCACATGCATTTCACAGAAAATACTGAACACAGGTTGCACGGCTATCAGTTAGAAATGATGAGAAGTGGATTTCTGAGCTGATATGATGAGACCAAAGCATCTTACAGGTATCACGTTTACCAATAACTCGTACTTATAATTTATTCCAATATCATCTCAAGGTTCATGTTAGTAGTTACTACGAGTGAGAGAAAGAGAAAGGAAGAGAGGTGGAGGGGGGGGAGGAAGAAGGAGAGAACTAATATATAATGAATGCATAATGGGTGTTGCGGTTCATGTGAGGAAAATTTGGGGCCAAGCCGACGAGCCAGCCTGTACTCAAAGAAAAGCTCTCAGGCCAACACAGAAAGACGGGCAAGTAAATGTACATGGATATGTCTTAAAATAAAATTTTAAGATGTATGTGTGTGTTCACTTCTTTTCTTTGATTGTTGGCTTTTTGGATTAACTTACCAAATACTGATTCCAATTACATAGAGGGTTTCCACTACCTGCATACATTTAACACTATTATCACACATTTTAAATGTTTTACCTCGTAAAGCGTGTTGTATGTGGTGACAGTCACGGTGTTTGTGTGCAACATCAGCCTCTCTCCAAGGAGGGTGAAAAGACTATGGGTGTGCATGATTTCAACTTTTCTCCTGGAGAAAAAGGGGGAAAACAAAACATTATGAAACACACCGGATTTTCCAGTTGCATGACTTTGGGATAAGAAAGTATAATCTGTAAGCAGATACAGAATCATATTAAGTAATTATTTTTACTAATTTCCATTTACAAAAAGAAATGACAGTTTACATAATGGAAGTTATATTAAATTAGTGATGTTTTTAATATAGCACAGCTGTCTTGCAAAGTTCCAAGAATACTGTTTAAACACTTCTCAAACAGAATATCTGTGAAAACTACAATGTAAAACATATAAATCACAAAACATTCTATAAATGTTGACAGCTATTATTTTCAAATCTCTACTAGGAGTTATTTAGGAGTTATTTTCATTAGGTTAAAATTATTGTTTCTCCTAACAGAGCCCATAGAATTTTGAAATCCTTTCTGTCCAAAGTTAGAGTCTGCAAAATAGTCTATGGTAAATGCTAGTGTCAAGAATTTAAGATTATGGTTGAAAGTGAGTACTCTAGCTTGGATCAGATTAAATGCTATTTTAAATAAAAAGCATCAAACACAATTTGACTCCTATTTAACAGAAAGGTAAGAAATGGACATGAATCTGAGAAAAAAAAAACCTTGAAAGATTCACCACCAAGAGATACTATTTTCTAAAAATACTCTATGAAGTTTTTTAAAAAAAGAATGAGGTGATATATATTTTGACTAAACATTTCAGTTTTAGAACATTTTCATTCCTTCATACTAAAGACAGATCATTGGCAGTCTCATACTTTATCACCTCCCAATTTTGGTGATTTACATTGCTATTTTGACATCATCAATATTTAAAACACTGATTCAATCTATGCTCATCTTAACACTGTTGTTATATATTAGTTGTCAGGTCTTGGTCTATTTTAAATATATCCAGTTCTTTGACCTTATCTTCACCGTTTCTGGTTTCTTTCCTTTGACTCAACTGTCCATTGGATGGATGCACCTCAAGACAAGATCGTAAGTCTGCCTTCTGCATTTGACTTGATGTCTACAAACTGTAACCCTATAGGTAGGTACAATAACATTCTTGGGTCACATAGCCCAGAACTTGTAGATGTTACTTTATTTCCTTTGCACTGAATTTATTTCCTTGTGGCCTCCTGAGAAGACTGAAGCCAGCCAAGTGTTTAACCAGATGAAAGTGAATTCCTTTTATACCTACATTATTTTAGGAATTTGTTTTTATCACTGAACTTCCATTTACACATTGTGTCTCGGTGTTGATCATTATGTGTCACATTTTCCTAGAATGTCATGTGCTTTTTCTGTCCACAGATGAGCTATTTCTTTACATCATGGAAACACCTTCTGTATCACCCGTGTGGCTCTGCCCTCCAGCAACACCAGCTGTCTTTAGATTATGGTGTCTGTCTCTGTATCTCTCTTTCTCTACATTAATTGCATTTCTTAAAGTTATATAATGGGTATCGTTTCCTTAAATCTTCAAGACTCTTTTCCTCTCATTTTGTTCTTTATTATCTTGTTTTTGAGATGTTACTGAATTTACATTCTTGCAATTTATTCTGTAACTTAAAACATGATGGAAAACTACCTTTTCTTCAGTACAGCTTTCTCCTGGCCTAAATTCTTCTCCTGTCCTTTACTCTTTCCTTTCTCCTTTCATAGTAGCATATTACCATGATTTCCTGCTTTTTTTTTACAACTTGCCTATGCTTGTGTATTTTGTTATATTTATTCCTGTTCTCATAAAATTTGGGTACCTACTCATCTTCTTTATTCAGATTGTGATTCCTTTCCCTTCTTGTCTGAAGCATTTTTTCTGGGCTGAGCATTTCATGTTCTATCCATTTTTTTCTGAGGCTTAAAAGGCTTTAATTGAGACAGAGAAAGGACAGCTGAGCTGTGTGCAGAGTGCCAGTACCGCTCTCTAAGACAAGTTTTTAAAATATTCTCTACTATAGTTCAGTCTACCTAAGGGACTATCTCATTCTCCTAGAGAAACTGTCTCAGGCCTGGTCCCCCAATTTGATGCAGAGGACTTATATTTAAAACACTGATTCAATCTATGCTCATCTTAACACTGTTGTTATATATTAGTTGTCAGGTCTTGGTCTATTTTAAATATATCCAGTTCTTTGACCTTATCTTCACCGTTTCTGGTTTCTTTCCTTTGACTCAACTGTCCATTGGATGGATGCACCTCAAGACAAGATCGTAAGTCTGCCTTCTGCATTTGACTTGATGTCTACAAACTGTAACCCTATAGGTAGGTACAATAACATTCTTGGGTCACATAGCCCAGAACTTGTAGATGTTACTTTATTTCCTTTGCACTGAATTTATTTCCTTGTGGCCTCCTGAGAAGACTGAAGCCAGCCAAGTGTTTAACCAGATGAAAGTGAATTCCTTTTATACCTACATTATTTTAGGAATTTGTTTTTATCACTGAACTTCCATTTACACATTGTGTCTCGGTGTTGATCATTATGTGTCACATTTTCCTAGAATGTCATGTGCTTTTTCTGTCCACAGATGAGCTATTTCTTTACATCATGGAAACACCTTCTGTATCACCCGTGTGGCTCTGCCCTCCAGCAACACCAGCTGTCTTTAGATTATGGTGTCTGTCTCTGTATCTCTCTTTCTCTACATTAATTGCATTTCTTAAAGTTATATAATGGGTATCGTTTCCTTAAATCTTCAAGACTCTTTTCCTCTCATTTTGTTCTTTATTATCTTGTTTTTGAGATGTTACTGAATTTACATTCTTGCAATTTATTCTGTAACTTAAAACATGATGGAAAACTACCTTTTCTTCAGTACAGCTTTCTCCTGGCCTAAATTCTTCTCCTGTCCTTTACTCTTTCCTTTCTCCTTTCATAGTAGCATATTACCATGATTTCCTGCTTTTTTTTTACAACTTGCCTATGCTTGTGTATTTTGTTATATTTATTCCTGTTCTCATAAAATTTGGGTACCTACTCATCTTCTTTATTCAGATTGTGATTCCTTTCCCTTCTTGTCTGAAGCATTTTTTCTGGGCTGAGCATTTCATGTTCTATCCATTTTTTTCTGAGGCTTAAAAGGCTTTAATTGAGACAGAGAAAGGACAGCTGAGCTGTGTGCAGAGTGCCAGTACCGCTCTCTAAGACAAGTTTTTAAAATATTCTCTACTATAGTTCAGTCTACCTAAGGGACTATCTCATTCTCCTAGAGAAACTGTCTCAGGCCTGGTCCCCCAATTTGATGCAGAGGACTTAAGAGCTTTCACTGCCATCACAGAATGGCTGCCTCGGTTTTTCATTCTCCATGTCTGTCCCAGCAACGATATAAACTTGACCTACCCAAAGTCACAAGAAAACGAAAATAGCTTGTAAGTTCCTGTCACTTGAATGCAGAAGAAATCTAGGAGTTCTATTGACTTTACAGGCCTAAAGACGGGGTAAGAATATGCCTGAAATCCCTGCATAGCTTCGTTGTCTTCAGCTGTCAATATTAAGTGGCTTTATGTGATTTTTTATTTATTTTTTAGTGGAGATGAAGAGAGGAAGGTATCGTACTTTACTATTTACTTCACTAGGTTTGGACAAGGGAAGTTCTTTCATCTCTCTTTACTGACTTGACCTGGAATTCACAATTCCAAATGTTTGTCTCTAATACTTATTTTTTGTTTTTTTGGGGGGACACAGTGGAGAAGAGAGAGAGGAGACATGATTTTGGGTAAGACTATTCATTCCTTCTCTCCCTCCAACTCAGAAGTTAAATTCTTTCTCATGGCCGAGTATTGAATAATTAACATTTTAATCATGTCATAGTATCTAAGCACGCATACATTAGTGGATGTTCACCTCGTTCACAGCTCCTGCCTTGGTATAGTCTAGTAGACTTGTCACAATCCACACTCATTACTCTTATTTTTTAATATTGTGTTGACATTTTTATTAATTTGTTCATCTCTGCTTTACAGAAGTTTTTGAGACTTTAAATAAAAGTTGGAATTTTTACCAGAACTGCTTTGCTTACAAATTGATTTGTTAAAATTCTATCTTTATGTATTTGAGTCTTTCCATTAAAGTACAAGATATAGATCTTCATTGACTACAATTAGTGCATTTTTTTCATGGTTTTCAGGAAATAACTTATAATTCTATTTACAGCTATGAATTAAGGGACCATAGGGATATCTACCAAAATACTTGGTAATAATTTCTAGTGAAGTAAACCAGGATTATGACCTGTGTTCCTGTACTTTTATGGTATTATTTATTAATAACTTCATATTACTCTTCCCACCTATTCTGGATGGAAGAACTACAGTATGTCTAAGTATGGAAAACCCATAAAAATAACCATTTAAAAATATTTGGAGTAAAATAATGTTATTACCAGGGACCAGAGAGGAACTCTCTGTTGCCATACAGTATTTTTTTAAAATAAATATTATAGTATTTCCTATAATTCTAAAAGCCCTTCTTATTCCAAATCTCTCCCGTTTTCACTTCGTTAGGTATGAAAAAGTCTATCCATTTTATTGGTTCCTTCAAGAAAATCACCTTTACTTATCCTTTCAACAGTTTTTTGTTTTATTTTCTATTTTGTTGATGCTAGCCTGCATCTTTACTATTTTGTACTTCCTAGCCATCTTTGTTATCTTTTCATTGATGTTGTAATATGGGTACATATTCCTCTGGTTTGTTTTTTCTTCTTTTACAGGGGACAGTGGGAATGCAGTCCCCCACTAACACAAGTTACGCAGTCGAGTTTCCCACGTTTGGGGAAATCGCAGGGGTCAGGACATCCGGGCGCAGCGGATGATCCTCGCCCCGGGAAAGCCACCCTCACAATCATGGTATCTCGAGACCCTGCCAGGTAAGTATATTCCTCTAATTAATCTTTATTCTTCAATATTATAAGTGTTTACTTCTAAGTTTTTGCTATAAAGCATCACAATATTAGGTGATTTCTGATTTCCCTTTTATCTTCTCTTTACTACGGGATACTTCTGAATGTT